TCATGTTTGAAATTTCAGAGCAGTAATATTCAACTCCAGGTCTGTTTCAGGGTGTAAACCTTCTCTGCATCAGATAGACCTCGATCTTGAGAACCGAGTATGCCATTGCTCAATCCTGGTAAAACACTGAACACCTCCAGAGTAACAACTCAGAGATGAGATTCACAGAAATCAAATAAGGAAGAAAGGTGGAAGACAGTATAATAAGCATCTGACTTAATCAAAGCTAAATTAAATGTAATGTTAGCCGCATTCCACGCCCAGGAGGTGACAATCAGAGCCACCATTGCTGGGTCATACCTGTAGGAAAGTAACAACCCCGAAAGGAGTCTGCACCGGCTGCATCTGAGGGTCTTCTGTCAGTAACATATGCTGGATTCTAGATTCACTGTTGTCCAAAGGGCTGTGCCACGATACATGGTCACCGCTGCAGAAGGTGTTTTCTGCAAGGAAGAGAAACAACAAATATTTAGTCCAAAATGTCTGCTAGAATATTCCTTCTGTTAGCATCTGCTCCTGACCAGTCAGGCAGGGGCCTCTGGTCTGGACCAGGACAGCCGCTGGTGGCTATTCGCAGCCGCTGCCTCCAGCCAGCTCTGCTGTGTCTCCAAGTCAGCTGAAGCAGGAAAGGGGTCTCATTGAGCCATCTGAATTCAAGCACTGACTTTAAAAAAAAAAGTCTCCTGCTTTGATACTAAACCCAACACAGGAATATCAACAAATAAAATTAGCTTCTCTCTCATTTACTATTAGTCTCGTATTGTAAGAGGGCGCAGAGTCAGCAGGCTATACTGGATGCCTATGGGATGGCGATTCACACTTAAATTGCAGCTCTGATTTGCCACAGGAAAAGATTCTGAAATGTGAATTAAACATAAATAATACTTGGCTATATCTAATAAAAATCCACAGTCTGCAGCCCAACTTGTGACAGTCTAAGTCAAAGCCACTTTCTCTCCCAATTGTCTGGTGGTTCTGGTGCAGAATTGTAATTAGTATGTTCCTTTTTTCCCAAACAATGAGAAAACCAGTGGGCTATAAATTTCACTATGTCAGAACAGACGGCATGAAAACAAAGAGCCAGAAATTATCCTTCTCTCTTCACAACTGTAAGCATCCCTTTCTTTTCCTCCTCTCCTACTTAGAAAGACAAAACACCCAGATAATCCCATGTTCCACAGCTGGTGCATGCCAGAAGGCACACCAGAACCCATCTGTATGTTGTTGCCCCATCACAGGAAAGGCTAATGCTTGCTTTCTGAGCAAGCTAGAAGTAAAACCACTGAACACGACCATTTTCACACCAATTAAAGCATGCTCCATTCACAAACAGTTCCTAGAGCATGTGTGCAATAATGCTGCCTAGCCAGCTGCCTTGGCCTCGGGTCTTGTGCTTGTCCCTCTCCAGGTACAGTTTTTATAGCACATACAAAGAAACAGCTTGGAATCCATATTCTGCCCTCTGACATCAGTGTAGCGCCCCAGGGATGAACCGCATACTGCCTGCTTCCAAAGGCAGTGGCAAGCACAGCGTCCCTCTCCCTGACCAAGCTCATTGATGATGGCAGTCTTGGCTGGTGTCCTCACCGTGGTCTCTCCCAACACCACTCTTACAGAAGAGTGGGAAGGGAGGCCTTGCCCACTGGAAGAGGACTAGGACTTCCACTGTGAAAATGTTAGTGGTTAGTGGTTACTTGAGTTGCTACCTGTCAAAACTCATATGACACGGAGCCGGATCCAATCCAGAGGAGTGTTCTTTGCCCTGTAGCTACGAGCAGACGTGGTCCTGGATTGTCACCTAACCTTCCCACACCACCTTTGAAATTCACATCAATAAGACATCTCTTAAATAAGTACCTATAGGGCTTATCTGAGAATCCTTGAACGTGGCAGCTTCTGCAGCAGCAAGAGAGAAACAGCATTTGCCAGTAATTGCAGCTTTGTCCTCCATCACGTTAAACAACAGACACTGAGGAATCAAGTGCTTGCACGCCACTCAGTGTGCGTCGGCACCACGACGGCGTGCATGTGCTCTCAGCCAGCAGCAAGCGTAGGATGCTTCGAGCCAGCACTGTCAGGCAGGTAAACTAATGAGAGTTATCTCGTAGTGGCTGTGCTTAAAAATACTCACAGTCATCTTGCTGATGAACTAACTCCTGCTCACCCATTCATGGGGTTCCTGCAAGGGTGTCCTGGGCAACTCATAGTTTCTCCACCAGGTGTCCCCATTGGTGTGTATTTGAACATTTTTAATATATGTTTTTTCAGATGAATTTCTTGGACAGCTCATTTGATTAAGAATTAAAATAAACTCCAAATACCATAAGGAAGCTGGCCCAAAAAATGAAGCATGTAACAGAACTGTTGTGATAAGTAAGGGAATGTTTTCCTTAGTTAAAATTAGGAAAGAAAGAAAACATAGCAAATGCAAGCTGCTTGGAAGAAAGAGTTTATCGTTACGGACACTGAATTACATGCTTTCAGCTCTGCGACTGAAAGGAGTGGTTCAGATATTACTTTACTTTTAGAGTTGGGGAAATATATGCAGACAGAAATTAAAAACTTTTTTTTTTTTTTAGTATCAAATTCGGGTTAAAGAAACAGCACTTAGAATGTTGCAAAGGATATTGTGGTATTATCCAAGTTAGCCAAAATGTGGCTGATTAATTTTTTTTTTTTTTTTAAATAATAAAAGCCTCTCAGTCACAGTTCTCAGGAATGAAACAAAGCCACAAAGAGCTTATTCTTGGGCCCTGTCTTTATACCACAACATTTTGCCCATCAAATGCTCACACAATTCTATGCTGATCGATCGCTGCGTTTCACTGCTGGTGCTGCTTCTCCTGGGAAAGCCCAGCCCGTTTAGAGCAGGTTTTCAAATGCAAATGTCTCTGCTGGAAACCCACCTGTTTATGTCCATGTGAACGCTGAACACTTAGAAAATCTCCCTCTCCCTTGCATGCACATGAACACCACAAGATTCACACTGACTACTCAATTAAATCACAAAAAAATTTTCTGCAAATAACATGAAGCTGAATTAAAACCTGAAAGATTGCAAGAAATTCAAAATTACAGCCTAAAACTCAGCTCTTTGCTTGCTGCATTGTAACCCATATGGAATGTAAGATCAGTTCTTGTAGAGACCATTGCAGCACTAAGGACAGCTTGAATTGCAAGACTTGTAGCTACAGAAATGAAGAAATTACAGAAACAAAGGACTAGATAACCACTTTCTCTTCCCTCATGCTGGAAACAGAGATGAGAATCCTCCCTATCTTTCACACTCATGTTTTCAAAACAAAACAATCAAAATCTTTCTAAGCATTTAAGTTTTAAACAATATTTTAGCTAGAAAATCCTTAAATTTTCATAAATGATTCCTCCAAGGTATATTTCTAACTAAATTTGGGAGTTTCACAAGTGTTGAATTAGAACATAAACCATCCAGATAAATCCTCAAAGTCATCACAGCACAGATGGATGTGAAAAGTCTCCTGTAGCTTTTGCACCTTTCTATCACTTGCAATGCTGTCAATAACACACCTTGTACAACTTGCCTTTCATCCACAAACACGTACAAGGTGCTAGGACTTCCTACATGTACATAAGTATTTCTGTAAAACCAAGAGACGAGTAGGCACAGGACATGTGCACTCACCTCAGGTACACAACCAGTACAAGCACTTTACAAGGAACACCATGCTTCAGTCAGACGGACCTAAAGACAGCTCCTTTTGTTCCCAAAAATGCATCCCCGTGTCTCCCGTACCATGCATGCTAACTGGAGAAGCAGCCTGCCATCTCCAAACTAATCTCTGAGATCTCTGTTTTTCACTGCTACGAACCAAGGATGGGACTAGGATCTTTAGTGATAAGGATGCCAGTATGGGTCTCAACAACATTCACAGTTTTGTAGCCGTACCTCTCAGTATGCATTTTGACGCCTACTACAGATAGCAAATGAGACACCTGCACTCACAACTGCAAGCTACTTATATTAGAAAATACTTGAAAATAGACATGTAAAAGGAACATGGTATGTAAAAATAAAAGATTAGAGGAAGAAGTTTATATCCATGGAGCACTGACCCACTGACAGGACTCACTGCTACAAGCATCCCAAAACAATTTCTGGTTTTAGCCCAAAACATGGCTCCCCTTTCAGATAAGCAAAGAACATTCCTTTCCAAGTTATCTCAGTTTAGTAAATCTGAAAGTTTACAGCCTCAGCAGCAAAGCTGGTTCTACAAGGATCCTATCACAACACTGGTGCTGTCCCAGGCCCTTGTAAATTCGGGAACAGCGTCTGCTTTATCCACATCCATTTACAGCAACCATCGATCCAATGCTTTTCACTCTTAACAAGCTCTGCTATGACAACCATTTTGACAGTTTTGAGGAGGGATTGGAGCCCAACTGATGTTACAAAAGTCCTTTTGCACTGTCTTAATGAGACAAAATATACTGGTGTCCAGAATCCAGGAAAGGTGAAATGGTTTTCAGTGGTAGCTGTGAAAAATCACAGGCTACTACTGAACAAGCACCTTCTCTACCATTTCAAGAAGGCAATGTTCAGCCTGCTGGGACTTGGGTATCGTTTGCTGCTGCAAAGACTTCTGCTTCTTTGAACTCTGGTGTTACTTGGCTCCACAGCAAAGCCAACAAGAGATGTGACAAGTCCGGGGAAAACATTTTATAGAATGGGAGGAGTCTGATGTATTCTTCTAACAGATAGCAAGCCTCAAACTGGTGGCCAGTTGGCGTGTTCCCATGCTCAGGAGTAAACCTGGACAAGACTTCTACGAACGGGGGAACTAAGGACACTTTGTTGGTTTGCACACTGTGGATGTATTTGTCACTGCCTAAGGAGGAAGGAGCGCTGACTAAAGCTTTTACTGCAAGCTGTGGCACACACAGGAGGACCCTATCTAGATTCACTTGTGTCTAAGGTCAAGCGCAACACATCTCCACTCTTCTCCACTATACAGGGCACAGTTAGCATTTTTTCTCACCTGCTCATTTTTACAATCCTTTAAGAACCAAGTCTCTCCAAGAGCCCTACTACTCTGTTAAGTCTGTTTGACATTGGCCAACAGGTTCAAACACCATTGGGGAGGCACAGTCAGCCTTCTAGGCAGAACAGCACAACTGCATACGCTGCCTTGCCTTAGGTGAGCACAGCAAAAAAAACAGTCACCAGAAAAAGTCACCAGGACCTCACCAAGGAATTATCAAATGCGTAGGACAGATGGCAAAACACAGAAATGATCTAGCCATCAACAGGAGAAACTAAATGGCAAAGGAGCGGAAAGAAAATACGTTAAAAAATTAAATCCAAATTATTTTAGTGTATTGCTAAATCGGCAAATCCTCAGGAGCAAACTAAGGCTCTGATTTACTGCATATGAGCTGATTCACAGAACTGCTGTTGAATACTTCT